TGTGTGTGTGTGTGTGTGTGTGTGTGTGTGTGTGTGTGTGTGTGTGTGTTGTGGGGGTGGATTCTGGGCTCAGGGCTTCCCAGCACCAGGTCCTGAAGGAGGGGCCCAGGTGCCAGGTGGGCACGGTCTCTGCACCCCGTGGGAGGGCTGTGACCACACGAGGCTAGAGGGGAGACTCTAACGCATGGGGCCTCCAGGGCAGGCCTCTTGCGCAGCTAGCGGGCGGCCCTGAGTGTATGTCATATGTCATGTCTCCTGCCCCCCACGAAGAGCGCGGGGTCGTGTCGGCCGCACCCCCAGCAGTCCTTCCAGCGCCGGGCCCCGAGAGGTCCCGTGGCACACAGGTGCTCCGTGCGGAGACGCCAGACACGGGCTCACGCTCTCCCGCACGGACACTCTCCGCAGCCGCCCCGCAGAGGAAGCTCCGTGCGGCCCGGGAGGTTCAGTGACCGGCCCAAGGTCGCACAGCCAGAAGCGGTGGCCGCTGCCTCTGCGCTCCCTTCACCCACCGCCCGGTCTCTTCGCCCGACTGGGCGCTCCCGGTTTCTCCTCGCTCCGTGCTGGGCGGAGCACTGCGAGCGGCCCCCGGGCGGCCGGGCGTCCCCTCGCAGGGTCCTCGCGTCCCTCGTCCCGGCCAGCCCCGGCCCCCCAGCCCCCCGGCCCCCCGGCCCCGCTCGCCCGCCCCGCCAGCCCGGCCGCGCGAGGCCCCGCCCCTCCCCTCGGGCGGGTCACGTGCCGCCGGCCCCCGCGCCTGCGCACTGCTTATTTCCCGCTGTCAGGATGAGGAGGCGGAGGTCGGCGCTCGGGTCCGTCTCTGCCCGCGGCTGTGGCGGCGCCGGCGGCTCCGGCCTTAGCGGTTCCTCCCTGGGCGGCGGCGGCGGCGGCTCGGTCGACGCCTCCTCCGCCAGCTGAGCCCGCGGGAGCCCGGGACGCCGGCCGCCCGCCCGCCGCGCTCCGCCAGGCCGCCGCCCGGCCATGGCGCAGCCGGGCCCGGCTCCTCAGCCCGACGGTGAGGCGCCCACCATGGCCGGCGCGGCGGGTGCG